CCTATCCTACCCGTTCGGCTAACGACCCTCCACTAGTCAAGAGTGCGGTGGGTAAGAGTGGATACCCATTCAATCGCCATATTATAGGCAATTTCCTTAAACACCCCTTATAGACCAGCTTCGTGAATGAGGCCTACTAACGGTAAGACTGACTTTTACTCATACATATATATAATGTTAGACTTTTAATGTTATATATAGTATAGGGTGCATTTTACACTTTTAAAATATTAGGTGATCAAATTTAACAATTATATTTGTAAACCTAAACTTTTATGGATTTATTAAACTTCTTTTAATTATACACCTTAATTGATTAATAAAACCATAAGGGTGTGATTTGAACTTTTCAAAACATTACTAGGGTTTTAGAATTTAACATTCCTAATTAAACTTTTAATCAACTTTTAAATTCCAAAACTTGAGGGCAAGTTTTGAAACATTTCAAAACAATTTAGTTTTAATCTATCTTAAAATTTCGAATTTATGACATTTAAATTAAAATTTTATATATTAAAACTTTTGATTTAATAATTATCTTGAATTAGACTATTAATTTAATTATTAAATCATAAGGGATTATCTAAATAATGAGGATAATTACCATTTAGACATTTAAGTTATCCTAATCCCTTAAATATCTATATAGATTTCGAAAATATGGATGGATAATGCAAGATCTTGAATTACCATATATAACAATTAGAGGATAATTACAAGATATGGGATAATCCAAATCCCTAAAAATTAGGACCTTATCTTGGGGAGGAGGCAAATTTCGAAAATCAAGGGATTATAACAAACCCTAGATTTCGAAATTTAAGGGTTTAAGGAAAGGATTTGAAGATCTTATTCAAACTCTTGCAAATTAGGGTTTGCAAACCCTAATCTCGAAAAACCCTAGCCTCTTAGGGTTTATTGGCAATAAACCCTAATATATCAAGTTCATACAATTGAAACCAAACCAATGGCTCTGATACCACTGATGGGTTTTGTTCATAAGACATCCTATGTGCTCATACAAACCCTAATGCTTGGATCTAGGTTTCTCTATTGTACATGCTTTGAATCCAAGACTATAAACCCTAATTCTAGCATTCAAGTAATCATATTAATATGTAATTAGGTTTAAGATCATACCTTGATTGTTATGTAGCAATAACAATCCCAAATCTCCTTGTAATGACTTTGGAATGCTTAGAGTCACAAGTGTCACTCCTCTAATGGCTTACAAACACCAAGAGCAAATGGAGAAGGTATAAAGAGAGAGGAGAGAGGTTAGAATTCGTCCTTAGGACTCCTTGGGAACAGTACACGAATTTAAGGCCTTAGGGTCTTTATATAGGTGTAGAGATAGAGTTTCAGTCATTATCCTTATCTAGTTGCTTATCCACAAAGCAACCATAAGATAAGCCTTGAAAACCCTTATCCTTTATCCTTTGGACGATTTCAAGGATCCTTATCTCCTTGAATTCGTTCAACCCATATTTAGGATAACCATTACCATATTTTGTAACTATCACATAATTACAATTCAGCCCCTCTAGTTTAATTAATTACACTTGATCACAAAATTAATTCCTAATTAATTATTGACCAATATTAATTAAGCAAATATGATTTCTCCTTTAATATATTATTCTTATAACATATTAATAAATCATAATAACCTCTCTCTCTTTATTTATTTATCCAATCAAGTTGCTTTGGTGAAGGCAACCCAAAAGGACCATGCACCATCGCGTCAAGTACATACCAAAATAGTTATGGACTTAGACACTAATCCAACATAGATGTCAATCCATATTTGAACCTAGCTTTCTCTTTTTTTCTCTCTCTCTCTTTCTCTCTCTCTCTCTCTCTCTATATATATATATATATATATATATATATATATATATATATATATATATATATATATATATATATATATATATATATATATATATATATAAACAATCATAAATGAATATAAATACAAGTGGCTAAAATGTTAAATAAATATTATTAGAAAAATGATTGAAAAGGGTAACACAATTTAGATTGTATTATGTTTATTTTATTTACATTTAGTCATTTATGTTTTTTTTGTATATATTTAATCACTTATGTTTTTTATTTTGTACACATATTACAGTTATATTTAATGGTCATATCTATATAAAATAAAAATAAAAACGTAAGTTGCTAAATGTATAGAAAAAAACATAAACAACTAAATATGTATAAAAATAATTTAAAAAAAATATAAGTGATTAAATACTGTCACACCCCAAAACCTGAACGGCGGAATCGTTCGGGGGTGGAGAACGTCATGTACAGTATCACACAATGAATAGTAGTAAACAAGCAACAACATCATCCATTGCATTAATAATATAATTTCATACATGTGTGTTCTGTCAAGGTTATAGACACCAAAAATATACATATCAAAATAAAAGTGAGTCTTGAACGAACTCCATCTTCTCAAAAGCCCGACACCTGTACCTGTCTAGTGGTGACCTGAGAATACAAGTTATTTTGAAAGTGAGTATCAGCTTAATGCTGGTGAGATCATAAGTATATTAGTGTCTGTGTTAGTATGAAAGCATTTGCAAGATGTTTGTAGGATGTAATGTATAAGTTTTGTAAAGTTTGTATTTGTTTGAACTCTCCTAGAAAACCCTATGTTTTCTACTAAATGTAGCCTTCTACCAAGGCATCTATTATCTCTGTGTGTGTCTCATGTAAGAGTGTGTATTTTCCCAATCCGACTATCATTAAACAAAAATATAGTTTTTACATTACCGTGCATCGTGTGCATGTTCACGAAGTGAATGTAATGGGAAAATATTATAGTATTGTAGTGTCGTATTAAGTAACTACTACTGTACTAGCTACCTTAAGCAATTATAAATTTTAAAGGTAACATGTGATTGGCCTGTATCTTGCTACCGACTGAATAGTAAAACGACAATGTAAGACGCCGTAAAAATGACGTTTGACACACGTAGACTTGCAAGTCCCACTGTAGCGAGTAGTAAGGTGTAGGATAGTCAATCCAGTATAGATCTATACACAAACTCAAATGCTCCCCAATTTAGGAGATTCTGATACAAAAACAATCATGGTAGGTAGTGACATGCCCTGTTTAATGGCTCACATAACTGTATTATTGTATGTGTAACGTATATGTGTGCTAGCTGTATTGTGCGTTCTTTCTCTATCTAGCATGTATGTTTGTTTCTCGTCACAGTGTCTATTGTTTGTTTCTCATCACTCTGTTTCATGTTTGATTCTCATCATAGTATGTACTGACTCATGGATGAACTGACTCTTTGTATGTTTCATTGTTCTAGTAATGGTATCTTCCTAAACTACCCCTATAACAGCTTGCTAGTAAAGTATGAACATGTCTGTATACCCTTACTACCCTAGGGCATGGGATTGAATGAAAGAAATAACCTTTTATATCTATATACATATACATAATATATAACTAGGATTCAAACGACCTTCGGACAACAAATCTTGATACCCTAAGACCACAATCAAACAAGAACAGGAGACAGGGTAGACTAGCAGTCCTAAGTCCTTTCAATCCTACTTATATAACTATATCTATACAGATACACAGAATATAAGTTCAAAAGAGTTTAAGTAAAAGTATTTGACAATTAAAGGAGTTTGTACGACAGTTTGAGGTAAAACAGTTTGATAAATAGTTTGGAAAGTAAGAAAACCATTTGCTTGGTAGTCATTAATCACATGTGATTGATATAATAACTATAATTGTTCAACTTGTATCCCCCCCCCCCCACCATAAGAGTATTTAAAAACATTTCAAAGGTTCATTTAGGGGTATGAACTCACCTATAGTGAGTGGTTCTGAAGAAAATGTTGGATCAATTGCTAAGTGCCAAGTGTTGACTTTAGTACACACACGAATCCTATTTAGCATATATTGATACATATATGAATATAATTAGTGGTACGAACCACTAAATATTGAATTTGGGACCACCTTAGGGACTAGTAAACACTTATATTGAAGTGTTACAACCATATATGATTGTACGAAGGGTTATAAAGCTATACAAGAGAATGTATGGCCAAAATACACATTATATGTGTGTGTGCGGCCAGGTGTGCTACCAGCACGTGTGTGCGGCCATGTGTGCGGCCAGAAGGCGTGTGCTGCCAGAACACATGGTGTTCTTGGTGTTCTTGGTGAAAGATGTTACCTTTCCGGATGATACTTGAGAGGATTTTAGGGTCCTAGCTTTGTAGAAGTGTAAGAAATGATCAAAATGACCAAGGATAGTATATATATGAGGGTGTGTGCGGCTGGAGGGTTGTGTGGTTGGCTTGTGTGCGGCTGGCTGGCCGCACACACCTGGTTTGGTGTGTTTGGCCCGATTTTTCGATGCTACACCTAATCTAACTCATCCTCCGACACGTATCTCAATTATACTAAGCTTTAAGCACTCTTTTAGACCCAAAACTTCATCATAAAATAACAAAACGAAGCTAACTTTGATAAAAATGAAGAATGTAAGCTAGAAATTTCTGGTTGTCACAAATACGTATATAATTTAAACTATGTTATTTTTTTAAAACATTATATAGTTACTAGAAGCTTGTTATGAATGTTATAAAATGGACGGTTATTAAAAATGTAAACTTAAAGTAATAAAGTATATCATTAACATTTAGTGAACAATAAACTTTATTAAAAATGAATTTGAATTTATAACAATACTAAAAATTAAAAAAATTATTATTAACATATATTTTTTAATTATGTTTTTTAAGATTATTAAAAAATACTTTTATATACATATTTCAATTAAACTCATCTAAATTTAAAAGAACAAAAACATAAGAGTGTGGTTTATAAGTTACATGTAGTCTAAAGAAAAAAAAATGAAAAAAATATATAAAAACAATTGAAATTATGAAAGTGACAATGCAGGAAATACATGAATTAGTTCGTGTAAATAGGAGAACCCTTATTTATGTTCCGGGTCGTATTTAACCGAGGTATGCAAAACATACCCTTAAAAAAACAAAGTGTGTGCAATTCAGTGAAAATGTGCATTCAGATCAATCATATGAGACACTAAAACCACCGCCCGCCGGTGATCGTGTTGTCTTCTTCGCGATGTGGAAGTCTGTATGTACCTAACTCTTGACGCCATCAACATCGTCGGTAAAAGTTAATGATAAGAGTGTGGAATAATTGAATTTCGTTCCCGGCTATCTCCTCCACTACAGATTGTTTTTTGTGCTTGAGTAGTTGAGTTCGTATTTTGAAGTGCTCCGATTTCAGAGGTATTTCCCCCCCTTTTTTTTTTTCTTAAATCATTCTTATTTGATATTCTGAGTATAGCTCTTCGTGGACACCAACTGTTCGTTGTAATGCCTGTCTTGATGGCTTGTCTTGATGGCTGATTCAGTGTGTTTCTAATCAAATCTTCTCACCATAAAGGGGAAGTTGTGTAGGTTTCAACACTCGTAAAGTACCTAAAGCACTGCTATTATATCCCCTATATATAATTGGTTAGATTATTACCTTGTTACTTTCATTTGAGGAAAAAGATTTCTCTTCATTATCTATTCAGGATGCTAAATCTAACATTTTTTGCAAACTCATGTATCTAATACGAACTAAATTGTAGCTAATTCGTGATTGCAATATACATGTCTTGAAACCAGGGTACATGAATATCAGATGGCCAAGAGTACTAACACCAACATACCTATCTCAGATCATCCAGAACCAGAAAAACCCATTGAAAGCCCTCCAAATCTTTAATGAAGCAAGAAACAAATACCCAAATTATCATCACAATGGCCCTGTATATGCCACCATGATCAACAAGCTCATCATCACAGATCGAATACTTGATATGAAACAAGTGATTAACCAGATGAAACACGATTCATGTGAGTGTCAAGATTCAGTCTTTTCAGATGCAATCAAAGCCTACGCAAAATCCGGAATGCTAAATGAAGCCATCTCTCTCTTTAAAAATCTCCATCACTTCAACTGTGTAAACTGGACACAATCTTTCAACACCATCTTGCAGATAATGGTGAATGAATCCAAATTCGAATCAGCTCATCATCTTTTCTTGGAGAATTTCAGCAAATGGGAAGTGAAATCAAGAACCCGTTCACTAACTTGGCTAATTGATGTTCTCTGTAAAAACAAACGTTCCGATCTTGCCCTTCAAGTCTTCCAAGAAATGAATCATCAGTACTGTTATCCAACCAGGGATACCTATCAGATCCTAATGACAGGATTATGTGAAGATGGAAGAATTAACGAAGCAATCCACTTGTTGTACTCTATGTTCTGGAGAATTTCCAAAAAGGGTAGTGGTGAAGATGTTTTAGTGTATAAAATCCTGTTAGATACTTTATGCTCATGTGGGCATGTTGAGGAGGCTGCAGATCTTTTAAATAAGGTCCTTAGGAAAGGTCTTAAAGCCCCTAAAAAGAAACGTATGCCACTTGATTTCAATCAGTGTAGGAATGGTAGAGACATAGAAAAAGCCAAGAGTCTAATGAGTGATGCCCTTATTAAGGGAGTGATTCCAAGTTATGAGAGCTACAACACAATGATTGTTGACCTTTATTCAAAGGGTGATCTAAATCTTGCAGAAAAAGTAGTTCAAGAAATGGATGACAATGGATTTACACCAGGGGTATTAGTTTATGAAGCTAAAATGATGGCTTTATGTAGGGCTAATATGATCGATGAGGCTGAAAAGGTAATTGTAGAGTGTGTTCCAAGTGTTAATTTATATAACAGTTTAATTAAAGGTCTTTGTAATGAAAAAAGATCTTTAGAGGCTCTTGGGTATTTCAAGAAGATGTGTAGGCAATTGGGGTGTGTTCCAAATAAGGAGACTTATTGCATATTGATAGATGGATTATGTCATGATGGGAGTTACATTGAAGCAAGTGAAGTTTTGGAGAAAATGTTGGTGAAGTCTTATTGGCCAAATAGTGATACTTTTGGTATGCTTATAAGAGGTCTTTGCTTGATGGGAAGATCATATGAAGCAATTATATGGCTTGAAGAAATGATTACCCAAGAAAAGATGCCTGATGTTTTCACATGGAGTTCTCTGGTTGCATCTGTTATATATGATACGGTTTTTACCAAGGTTTTTTCTGAAATATTGGAGTCTTAAGAAATTTATGTATAGTTAAAAAAAATGTTGTTTTTGAATGAGAGTGATTACTTCATGTATGATGTAATACTTATTGTGCTTAGGCTTCCTTGTTAACTCATAAGCATAAATTCTCCCACATGATTTCTCTTATAATAGTGAAATATTTACTCTAAATGGTTTATTAGTTAGTTTTAACTTAATGTTATTTTTATCAGCTAATTATTACTAGTTTTTTTAGTAAGTTTGTCAAATATAATCGTGTCATTTTTGCAATATGTATCGGTATGTTACAATAATTAGTAAATGATAAATGTAATTTTGAATCAAAAGAAACTTGGTAAATTTTTGGCCAAAATGAAAAGTGTTAAGAAACACTTTACTTCCATCATGTTTTCTAAAGGGTTTCGTCATTAATTTGTTTTATACATCACCTCAGATCAAGGCAGAGATTAAATGATAGATCATTGTGTGATTGTAACTCAAAATGTACAAAACCACGACAACAACATATTTTATATAGTGCATTTTATTTTATATAAAATGGTAGTATACCTCAATTTCCGTTCATTTATGATAGTGGTTTAATTGTATTTTTAAGAGTTGTATTGTATCTCAACAAAAGATTTGAACTAACTTTGGCTCAACAAAAGTGGAGCTAAATTTTAGATGAAAAAAACGTAATTGCGACAAAGGCCTTTATTTTACTACAAAAAAGATGATAAATTTTTGGCAAATAAGGAGTAAGATGTTGTTGACCATGACCAAACCGTCGTCCACTAACATATATATGACAGTTACGTGTTTTTTTGTTTAAATTTTAAAGAGGGGAAAGAAAGGGAGGGGAGGGGGAAGAAATGGAAGGAGAAAGAGGAGAGGATAGATGCGTTCTCAAGTTGAAGGGGAGAAAAAAAAGCTTTACAATTTGACATTTTTACCCTATTAAGGGTTCATCAGATGAAGCTCCGTTAGAGGAAGAAGAGGGAGGAAGATAAGGGTAAAATCAGTCTTTTGTTGATTTCCTTCCCAATCCGTCCAAAATTGAGCGGATGAGTTTGTGTAAAGTAGCTAAGGTTTCTCCCCTCAATTTATTTCATTTCCTTCACTTTCTCACCTTAAAAAAACTAGAGAACACGCTTTTTCCTTCTAATCCCTCCTTTTCCTTCCTTCAAAAAAATTCAAGAACAGACTATTAGTAATGTTATTGATTGTCTGTCGTGACACTCTACCACAAAGAACTATGAATAAGTCTTTATTTTGGGTAAGAAAATTTTCTTTGAAGATTGATTTAATATAGTTGTGAAGAATACATTTAAATAGATTCTTTATGATTTTTTGTTTTTTTTAACACATTGTAATTCTACATTGTTGACAAACCTACTTCCACAATATGACAATTTGGCAAAGTAATGGTCAATAAAAAGTTATATAGAGAGTCCAAAAGTCCCCGATGAGAAATGGGGATATCCATTTCACAATGCTTTTGGGAGTGGAGTCACATGTCCCCCAATGGCTAAAATAATTAACATATAAATATTTCAATTATTTTAAATTCTACTTGAAAAACCATTTATTTTTTGAAAAAAAAAATCAATAGTGCCCCCAGCAAAAAGAAAACGTTTGAATAACCAAATGTAAACCACGAAACATTGTTTTGACATACAAAACTGTATCGTTTTTTGTGAATATACATTTTGCAATATCCCATTGCAAAAGAGAATTTTCGTCAAATAACCAAAATTGGGTGGGTGATTTCACCTTTTATCATAAAAATCAATCTTTTGTAGAATGACCATAAGATTTGCAGAGGATGCTCTACATATCCATTAAAACTTCTGAAGAATAGTGATCGGTTTTGCGGATCCGCTAAAAGACAATTTTTTTTTTCCGGGGTTCACAAGATCCGCAGAGGCGGCTCTGCGGATATTTTAATTTTCTGCCAAAATGGTAGTTTTAGTCGTGTTTAAAGCAATAATTTCCGATTGTATATGAATTTTTTTTTCGTTTTATATGTCTTTTAGTAACCAGAAACGACTTTTTTTCAATTTTATGAATGCTTTAATCAGTAGAAGTCATTTTTTCATTATCTTTGTGTAGAGAGTTTTGTAAAAATGAGTTTTATTATTCTTTGTACGGAAGGGTTGTGTCAGTTAGTTAATGGAAATGAGGTTTACGTTAGAAATAATTGTTTGGTTATGAGCAAAACATCAACCCTATAGTACACATGCAAACCCTAAAGTTTTGGATCTAGGTTTTTCTAATTGTACATGCAATAATCATCCAAAGCTTGTAAACCCTATGGCTAGCATACAAAAATCGAAAAACACATCTAACAAACAAGTTAGAATGTTACCTTTATTTGTAGCTTGATAACCATGAGCTTTTGAGAACCTAACACCTCAAATGTGATGTCTCTAATAGATCACAAACGCCAAAGCAATTGAAGAATATTAGAGAGAGAGAGAGAGAGAAGGGAAAGGCTATTTTCGGCTCTAGGAATCCTTCTAGGGTTGTGGTAACCGAAAATATGAAGCCAAGGGGGTCAATATATAGGTGATGAATTAGGGTTTTAGTCAAAGACCTAATGTTATTGCTTAGGCTCTAAGCAGCCCATAGGAATCTTCCAGAACCCTGGCCCTTGGACGAAATCCTTATGGGCTTCCATAAGATTTTGTCCACCTCTTTCTAAGATGTCCTCAACCCACTATGCAATTATCGTATAATTACAATATCAGTCCCCTTAATTCAATTAACCTCTTTTGACCACAAAACTAATTCTAAATTAATTTTTGACCAATGTTAATTAAATAATATGATTTCTATTTTAATATACTATTCACATAATATATTAATAAATCACTTTTATCCTCTTTATCCATTATTAATCCAGTCAAGTTGCTTTGGTAAAGGCAACCCAAAAGGACCATGCTACAACCGAGTCAAGTACATACCAAATATAGTTATGGGATTAGACACCTAATCCAACAGTCTCCCACTTGGATAAGTCTAATAACTATAAATGCAAGTACAACTTCAAAATCCGATTAGCAATCGTAGCTCTCAAAAGCCGATGTGGAACTCTGACACGTCCTTTAGATAAGGGATCGTATAGTCCTCTGTTCTCAAGACATCGTGTGAACAATTACATGGAACATAGTCATACTTATTGTCCAGCAATTTTTTCATCGATCTCTAATCTGTCTGACATAGAACTTAATAAAACACATCAATTTAGTCCTGACCGGGCCCGTCAAATGAGTCAAACCAAATCATCGAGGGGCCCAAGATATTGCTTTTACCCTTATAGGATAAAAGAACAGGTAAACTTTGACTTATATGCTTTTACTATTTACTCATCAAATCGTACACAACAATGCGTTTTATAACATCAAGTTACTGACGCATTTACGCATTATCAATGCACAACCAACTCGTAAACAACAACTCATATATCTAGTTTTAAAAACTATATGATATTATCGTCTCACAATCACTCGTGATTAAATTCCATGAAGCGATTCATGTAAGTACGGGTTTAATCCAATACTCAAATCTTATTTCAGGAGCACTCATGAACGTTGCAGCAAACCTTTGCTATGTCTAAACGCTTAGACAATCTACAAGTTAATTCATGATAGTCTTCTTTCATACTTACTTCCAACATATGAACGATTGTGGATAGTTTAAATAATCTTATTATTTAGGAAGTCAAAACATGTAAAGTGAAACAATAGTAAATAATTAACACAAGACAGTATTTTTACTCATAAATAATACTCCTTTATTTAATCATCAAATGTTAATTACAATTTATCTATTACAAGTTTCTAAAAGTTATCTTATCACTAAAACTAATATCGTCCTTCAGCCCAATGCTCCTAGTGTGCTGCAAGTGCTTAACCCTACTCAGTCCCTTCGAAAGGATATCTTCTGGGTTATCCTCTGACGATACCCTATTCACTACGAGGAGTCCCTCTTCTATCCAATGTCTAATGAAATGATATTTTTTGTCGATATGCCAGGATCTGCCATGATCCTTTGGTTCCTTGGTCAAGGAAACCGCACCTTCATTATCGCATAAAATCTCCATAGGCTCCTTTATGGCAGGTACAACTCCGAAGTCTTCGATGAAGTTCTTTAGCCATATTTCCTCATTTGACGCTTCGCTTGCTACTACGTACTCTGATTCTCACACTGAATCAGCTACGATCTCCTGCTTGGAACTTTTCCAAGTCACTGCTCCTCCATTCAGGGTAAAGACCCAGCCTGACTGAGAGCGAAAATCATCTCGGTCGATCTGAAAACTGGCATCACTATATCCTTGCACCCTCAAGTCATCACTCCCATCGAGGATAAGGTACCATTCCTTAGTCCTTCGTAGGTACTTAAGAATGTTCTTTACTGCGGTCCAATGTGCTCTACCATGGTTACCTTGATATATGTTGACCATGCTCAAAACGAAGGCCACATTAGGGCAAGTACATGTCATAGTATACATGTTCGAGCCAACAGCAGAAGCATAAGGTACTCGGATCATCTCTGCTATCTCGGCTTTGGTACTCGGGCTTTGAGTCTTACTCAACTTGGTATTGCTTTGGAATTGTAACTCCCCTTTCTTGGAATTCTCCATGCTAAAACGTTTTAACACTTTATCTAAGTAAGTACTTTGACTAAGTCCTATCAGTCTCTTACTCCTATTTCTCAATATCCTTATCCCAAGAATATAAGCAGCTTCTCTGAGGTCCTTCATAACGAAGCACTTCCCAAGCCAGGACTTAACCTCCTGCAAGGTTGGGACGTTGTTTCCTATGAGTAGTATGTCATCCACATACAATACGAGAAAGTTAATTATACTCCCACTGGCTTTTACATATACACAGGACTCATCTTCGCTTCTCGAAAAACCAAACTCTTTGACCTTCCCATCGAAACAAAGATTTCATCTGCGAGACGCTTGTTTCAATCCATAGATGGATTTCTTAAGCTTATACACTCTATTAGGGTGCTCTGCATTGATAAAA